AACCTTGTCTACCCTCTTAGCATCCTGGCATGCTACGTTGCGTCCGGGAGACACCTCTGGTAGGCTGCTAAGAGGGTGTTGCGCAACTTGTGCAGTACATCGGGCATGGGGCTTGTGCTTGGAGGACGGGGTCCAGTTGTCCTCACTGGACACGCAGACGCTTCTTGGGTTGACGACTTGGCTACGCAGCGGTCGTCACAGGGTTACACCTTCAGCCTTGGCTTCGGCTCTGTTTCTTGGCGGTCTACCAGCTCGTCTTTTGTTCTCAGTTCTAGCTGTGAGGCTGAGATCTACGCAAGGGCCATGGCTACACAGGAGTTACGCTGGCTCACCTACCTGCTAACTGACTTGGGAGAGCGGCCTCGTTCTCCTCCAGTTCTGTACATAGACAACAAGGCCATGATTTCCTTGTGTCAGGAGCACAGACTGGAGCACAGGACGAAGCACATCGCTCTGCGTTATTTCCTTGCTCCAAAATTGCAGCAACGTGGTCAGCTTCGTCTTGCTTACGTGGCCATTCGGGCCAACACTGCTTATATATTCACCAAGGCACTTTAGTCTGGTGATCATCAGCGTTTCTGTACTGCTTTAGGCCTTCTGCCTGCTTTGTCTCACTTGCTCACTTCGTGACTTTGCTTTTACTGTGATCTATATTCACATATACTTGCATGCTTACACTTGCTAGGTTGTGATCACTGTACTGCTTGTTCTCATTTATATAAATCTGCATGTGAAGTGGCTTTGTGGCCATTTGCTTGTGCTCAGAGTGTGTGGTGACTTCGTGATCCACCATGAGCTTGTTTTGCTTCTCTTGACTGGTCTTGTGACCCCTTGTTCTCCCCCACTTTGCCTATGGGGTTGTGTCAAACTATTATTATGTTTAGGTTGTGTAGGCTGTAGTGGGGTAGCCCATAAGGGGTACAACCCAATTAGGGTTAGTACTTGTACCACCTTTCTTCTCAATGCATTCATCCTAATTCAGTTTCTTCACAAAATGGGTCGGTGCGATATCCGTGGGTGAATAGGCCTGTTAACAGTGGGTTGGGTCGGGCGAGCGGCGTGACCTGTCAGTAGAGGGTCCGTCTGCTACTGATTCCCAGCGTTTCCCTACTGCTTGGTCTGTTTCTGCTGCTCAGCTTCCCCCTTTCCCTTAGCGTTTTCCGGGCATTCGCTTTTGCAGTGTCCCGGCCGAGTGCACGCGAAGCAGCGCCCTTTGAACGGTACGACAGCGTCATTCGCGGCGACGGCACATATCGTAGCGCCCTCGTTCGTCCCACGAGACCGATGCCCCCAGTTGTTACTACTTCTATAGGACCCCAGTCTCGGTCGGCGAAAGAAATCGAGTTTCTCCGCCATAGCGAGAATCTCCTGAAAGTCGGTGACGCCGTGGAGCTGGATTTCGTGAGCAATATCATGCTTCAGGCCACCTATGTAGCGGTCGATGCGCTCATATTCGTGCATGTAGCCCACCTGCTCACACAGCGCCAGAAATCCGCTGGTGTAATCTTGGACAGAACCGAGTTGGCGCCAAGTGCGAAGCTTCTTACGCTCCGCGATCGAAGCCGCAATTGGCTCAAATCGGGCGCGCAGACCTGCGCACCACGCGTCCCACGTGCGATATTGGGGCACCTCCACGAAATACGCCGGCGCCCAGGGTCCGGTTTGTCCTTCCCGTGTCGGTAGAGTCGCGTAGTCCATTGGCTTCGTGACGATGACACGCCACCAATCCATGGCGGGTCCTCGCAGCAGCAACACGGCGTAGCGGATTTTCGCCGTATCCTCCAAGACGTAGTTGGCGTCGAAGAAAACGTTCAATGTGAACAGCCACGCCTGAACGGTAGGACCACCCCGTTGACTCGGGTCAAAGCATGGCAAACGCAGCAACATCGGCGATGGCAGTGTCGATTCGCCGGCCGGCACAGAAATCGTGACGCGGGGTTGACTCCTGGCCGCATTCGTCGCTTCGGGGTGTGTCGTGTCGTGGTCGTCGTCTCCGTCGTTGCGGACGACGCCATCACTGGCCGCGCTCGCGGGTTGCCCCACACTTCCGTGCTGCGATGTCTGTGGTGCAGGTTGTCCCGGAGTGCCAGGTGCTTGTGACTATGCTTGCTGTGCTCGTGCGACGTCATTCTGCAGGGACGTGCGTTCTGCCGTCAACGCCGCGATTTCTTCAGAGCTTTCGCGAAGTTGCTGCAGCAGTTCGTTCAGACGGTCTCGCGTGAGCGTAGTGACGCCGATGTGTTCGGCCATATCGAAGGGCGTCGGCTCAGCTTAGTCTAGGCGCAGTCGTGGCTGCACGCGTTTACGAGAGAACGCGAGGACAGCGGATCCTAGATGCTAAGGGGCGTGAGTCCCTTTTAGTGAAAAAATCAAAAGTTGATTTCACGGGGTGTGGAGATGCGCGGTCCGAAAAGAAATTGGCTCTGATACCAAGTGTTACGGGTGCAATGAATCGAGGTAGCGAGGATTGCATTAGAGTGTTCAACGAGTACAAAGTATGAGCGAAGGCATGAGAGAATACTTATACGCAAAACATGCAAACGGTAACGCGGTGCGTGTGAGCTAGCTAGTGCTACGCTGGCGCGAGGTTCGGGCTAGTCCCGAAGCGTAGGCCGACTCGGCTGCTCCAGTAATGCGAGGTTTGGTGAAACAGTGCGCGCTAAGTTGGCGAAGCCCCGTTAGCAGTAACGGGCGAACAACGGTCGGGTAAGGAATAGCGAGAAAATTCCTTACATATACAAACTGATTTGGGGTGGGTGGAGTTCTAACCTCAACCCCCAGACCCCCCCAACCCTTCCGCCTCGATTGCTGGTTTCTCCGCAGGGGGTCCCGCAGCCACAAAGTTACCCTGTTTTCAAGTGATAAACTTTCCCTCCCCACTCCAAGTATGTAGACCGTAGCTTTAATGTCGCATGATTTGTTTCTGGAAAGACCGTCAGGTTTCGTCAGGAGCCGGAACAACGAAACTTGTCTTTGTTCTCGATTTTGTTTCTGAATGTACAACGCCTTGGTCATAATGTAAAGGGTTCGAATTTCGAAATGGAAGAGAGTGGGTGGGTGGAAAAGAGTGGGAACAGAACAGCAGACTTCGTAGACTGCACAGCCTTTCAGGCGGCGTGTCACTTGAGTCGAGTGTTACAAATGCTTGCGTTTACGCAAACTGTCAATCGAGACGACGAAGCAGTATTGAGAAGCCTTATAACGGAGTATTATGTAGGCACGAGGTGTAGCTGGAGTAAACTCGAGATAGAATCGTCCCTGCCAGGCTAGCGTCGCACCGTTTCCGCATCGACAGTCGCATTCGCAGTCGCATACAATGTTGCATTCGCGGTCGCAAGTGCGGTCGCACGAGCTGCATTTCACAGAGCGACCGAATGAGATGTCCTCGGCGATAGACGTCGTGTCGTCGGACGATATCGTGCGAATTTTCCACGCGTGTGACGCGCAGCTCTTCGCCGGCTATGCGGGTTACCCCGGCCTAATGGATAAAGAGGTGAGCGTGCAAAAGACGGTCTCGCTTACGAAAGTTCTGGTAACATTCACGAAAACGGTCAGCTTCTTTCAATTCACACTTCAAGTCGGCCTGGTTTGCTTTCCCGTCCCAAGCATGCCTGCCAATGGAACTACTCAGGCTGATGTACGAAACAAGGAGAGTTTAGAGGAGGGAGCGCACCGGGGGGAACGCAGAGGGGGGAATGCAGAGGGGGGAGCGAAGGGGGGGGAGCGCAGAGGGGGAGTGCAGAGGGGGGAGTGCAGAGGGGGGAGTGCAGAGGGGGGAGTGCAGAGGGGGGAACGCAGAGGTGGGAGTGCAGAGGTTGGGAGGTATGGGGCGGAGAGTGAGGTGAATCTTTCCTGTCATGTGCGTGCAGGGATAGGGATTCCCCTCAACAGACTACTACATGCTGAAGATTACTTTTGAGTCGACTCAACAAAAGTCACCTTGAAGCTTTCCTTGAAGTCAGCTGCGATGTGCGTGCATGGATTCCCCTCGTGCCGTGATGTACAGACTACTACATTCTGAAAAAATCCCTCAACACTCTTGAGATGCCTCAAAAGGTGACTTTTGAGTCGACTCAAAAGTCACCTCATGATGTACAGACTACTACATGCTGAAATATTCCCTTAACACTCTTGAGACGCAAAAGTAGACTACATGCGGAAAATTCTCTCAAAGCTCTGTCCTTTTCCTTTGATTCCTTTGCCTTGCCCTCTTTCCGCCTCCTTCCCCTTCCCCATTTCCTTCGCCATTTCCTCCCTCTAGCCCACCCCGCTAACCCCCCCCCCTCCCCCCCCTCCTTCTCTGTATCAGACCATTCGAGTGGTTGACCAGCTCGCAGCAGCGGCCTTTTAGAACTCTCAAAACTGTCCACTTGCCTACCTCCTGTGCACCCACCTTTCCCTGCCCACTGACAGTCCCCTTATCTCTATATCAGACCATTCAAGTGGTCGACCAGCTCACAGCAGTGGCGGCTGGAATTGTCTCTTTCTCCAAGGCATACTGCTGCCCTGCCCTAAACCCCCCTCCCTTTTCCTCTCCTCTGGCCCCCTCCCCCGCACCTGCGCACCCACCTCTTCTCGTGCATCCCCCCCCATCCCTGCATCAGACCATTCGAGCGGTCGATCAGCTCACATCAACCCCCCTTCCCTTCCCTTCCCTTCCCTTCCTTTCTACCATCCATCCGTGCCCCCAAGGATCAAAATGACGGCTATCGTATTATACGGTCCGTATAATACGGTCGTTTTTTACGGCCAAATATCCAAAAATACGCCGTATTTTTTATAGACTAGTTTTGTGGTGTTTTTTTTTTTTTAGCAATCACAGAAAATAGCTCTACAAGGTTGCGGAAGGTAAACACTAGCCTAGCATAACAACATAACAGAGTGTTACAATCAGAACTCTACCATTGCCACTACTACCGCCCACACTACTCATTACTCCTACCCTATCCTATCCTTCCCTCTCTCTCTCTCCTCCTCTGACCTGCAACCTCCTCTTTACTCTACTCATCCTCCTCCTCCTCCTTCTCCTCCTCCTCCTTCTCCTCCTCCTCCTCCTCCTCCTCCTCCTCCTCCTCCTCCTCCTCCTCCTCCTCCTCCTCCTCCTCCTCCTCCTCCTCATCGTCATCCGCCTCCTCCTCTTCCTCCCCACTAGACCCGTCACTAATGTCCCAAGGATCCTGGCCATTTCGAGCCTTGGTGGGCACCTCCTCCTCCTCCCCTCCACTGCTATTCGCCGCCTCCTCCTCCTCACCCTCTTCCTCTCCCACAGATGTTGCCTTCCTCTTTCCCTTGTTAAGCTTCTTGGCCTTCCCGTTTCTCTTCCTTTTAGCGGACTTAGGCACCTTCTTCTTCATCTTCCCAATGTTCCCGAAAAGGTCCCAATCAATGGTGCATAGCTGCTCAGTCCCCTCTCCCTCCTCCTCGTCCTCTACTTCCTCTTCCTCTGCTGCTGCTGACGGTTCAATGGTAGACCCTTGCTTGAGGGTGCCGTTGGCCAGATCGGCATAAAGCTTCTCCCTCTCCCGTGATTTCCTATCGAATGCATCCCTGGCCCTCCTGGCGAACGCCACCTCAGTCGCGTCCATCATCCTTTTGGCGGTGAGGCGGTTACGGTCCCGCCTCTGCACACGTGCAATGGCGAACCAATAGCGTTCCACCTCAGATGACGTGACTGGCTGTGACAGCACCGTCACAGCTAGCCCCATGAGCGCTTGCACTTCCCCCCCGTACATCAGCCACCACTCCGCCTCCGTCAAGCGACCACTCGCCACCAACACCGTTGCTGCCCAACGGGCGTCATCGGACCCTATCAGCCCCTTTCCCTGGTGAAACTGCGTCAACTGCGTCAACATCAGCGTGCGGTGAGCGACATCCACCCCACGGGCCTGGATCACCGCTTCCGCCCCCAGCCTTACCTCGGGATCGTTCTTCACCTCCCCGAGGTACTGATTCCGGGGGTTGAGAAGCCACCCAATAGCATGGAGTGGATTGTGGAGCTGGACGTCCCACCTCCTGGCTATAATAGCCTTGATGGCGGACAAAAAGGCCGGCTTGTCCTTGGCCGGCAAGAGAGATGTGCGTTTCAGCATCATTTTGGCTGCACATAGGGATAACCGGAGTGCACGAGGTGAGTACAATGGGCGGGAAGGGTATACTTTAGTCCGAACGTGTGGCAATTCACAGCTTACCTGCCGCCTCTGCCGCATCGTTTGTCTTCACCGTGGCATCTAGCATGAGGCCATAGATCTGGCCCATGACTAGAGCACGCGTGTCAACCACCCGCAGCACTTCGTACATGGGAGTCATGAGGCGGAGGACCGCTGTCGCGCAGTCCCAAAAGACCTCATCCAAGAGAAGCAGGCGGACAGCTCGCCCCTCGTCAGACCGTGCCACCGCCACCGCCTCCCACTCCTCACTTATCACCATCTCTTTGAGCGCTCTCTTTACTTCCAGGAAGCGGGTAAGCATGACAACCTGCGTGCCGAAGCGTGTTGCACTGGGTCGCACCAAGGATAATGTGCTAAACAACTCGTGGAAGAGCGTGACGGCGGACGCGCTGCCCTTGACGATCATAACCACCCTGTGCACCTGGTTAAGCACCCGCTTCACTGCACGGATGTTTCCGATGTCGTGAAGCATCAAGTCGAGGACGTGCGCCGCACAGTTGTTGAAGAAAATTGCTGGGAAACTCGTCACGAAGGATGTCGGCCGCCCTCCGGTTGTTGGACGCATTGTCCATGACCACTTGGACAACCTTCTTGTCTCCAACGTCGGCGATCGAGCGCCGGATGAGGCCGGCCAAGTACTCCCCCGTCTTCTTCGCGGTCTTGGAGTCCACGGTCTTCAGAATGACAGGCGCCGTGTCATTGTGGGCTATGACACACACGAGCCCACGGCTCTTCATGCAGGTCCAGCCGTCCACGGAGATGGTGCAGCCGCTAGTGTTCCAACTCTCTTTCAGGGGACGTACGAGGTCCTCGGTATCCGCCACCAGTTTCTGAAGCAGCACACCAGAAACCCTGAAGGGGGATGGGAGGGTGTACTGTTTCCCGAAGGCAACAGCCGCATCCACAAAGTTCTGCACGGCTGGTGACTTGGACGTGTGGAACGCCCGATCGTTATCAGCCACTGCAGCGGCCCAGAGGTAGTCCAGTCGAGCACGTGCAGAGTCATCCACCATGTCGCGGATGTCCCGCTGCCGAGCACGACGAGTGGGTTAGATGTCAAGGCTTGAAGTGGAGCCATGGATTGACGGAGTGGCGCTTCCAGAACGCGAACTAGATGCTGCTGCTTCCTCGCGAAGTTTGATGGCGACTTCATGGGCGCACGGCGTCACGTTCTTATCTTTGTCCTTCGGCGTCCCATATATGTGCTCTCCAATGCGTGTTGCATTAGCAGTCACGGATTCGTTGCAGTGTACGCATTTCGCCGTTAAAGCGCCGTCTGGTCCCTTAGCCGTCGTAACGTGCTTCCACAGTGGCGATTTCTGCCTCGCCATGGCGTATGTCCTGACTGGCACGCGGGGTGTTGGAGTACACTGAAGACTAGACTAGAGCTATGCTTTGAATATGTGCAGGAGTGACTAAACCAAGCCCCTAAGTACCTCGTAGTGGAAACTGGGCGTGTTGTGTTGAGTGGGTTTGGGAACAGGTTGAGCTCACGGGATGTATTCTGATTGGTTGGAGAGGTTCGCATCGCGTCTTTTGGATGTGTCGCGACCACGCGCGAAAAAAAAATATCCGCCGTGCGAAAATGTTTAACGGAAAAAACGAAACGTGGGATCGAATGGGTACCGTTCGCCAAATGTTGGAATGTCGTGACTCAGGAAAATGTACATGTTCTGCTTCGGCGACTGATGCCAACGAGTTGGCGAAACACGTAACCTGCTTATTGGCGTCGCCAAATGCCCAAATGTCGCGACGCGTAAATGTCGTGACATTCGCGACACGGGAAAATAACACATTCGTGTGTACGGCTGTCAGACAAATTTGACTTACGGAGAATCATGCGTGTGAAATGTTGATTTCCGACATACACAGACTCGGTTTTAAAATTTCGGTCGAATTAAACGGTCGTATTTTTTAACCAAACAAAGAAAACAATAAACCACCGTTTTAAACCGTATTATACGATCGTTTAATACGATTCCGTATTATACGGTATAATTTCAATAATTCGGTCGTAATTTTGAACCTTGCGTGCACCCCCTCTCCCCCCTGCGCACCCACCTCTTCTCGTGCATCTCCCCCCAACCCTGCATCAGACCATTCGAGTGGTCGATCAGCTCACAGCAGTCGCGGCTGAAATCGTTTCTTTCTCCAAGGCATGTTTTTCCCCCTCTCCCCTACCCCTACCTTTTCTTTCCCCCTCCTTCCCTTCCCTCCCCTTCCCTCTCCTACCCACACCTCACCTACCATCCCCTCCCCGTCCCTCCCCTCACGCCCCCCACTTCCTCTTTCTCCTTCTCCTCACATTTTCCTGAGTCGACTCGAAGAGCATGTTTCCTCCCTTCTCCCATCGCGTCCTCTTTCTCTTCCACCCCTCTCCCTCTGCCATCCTTCTCGAAGTTATGCTTGCTTCTCCCCTCCCCTCGCCATATCTTCACTTCCTTCCCGCTACAACCCCCCACACTTTCCTCTTTCTCCTTCCCGCTTCTCCAAAGCATGCTGCCCTTTCCCCTCCCCTCCTCTTTCCCTTTCTCCTTCTACTCTGTTGTCTAACCCATGCTGCCATTTCCCCTCCCCTCCCCTCCCTCTTCCTCATCCCCTCCCTCTCTCTTGGTCCAATTCACCCACGATCGATCGATGTTCATCCTTGGGTGAGCCTGCTGGGGTGCCCAGAGGTGCATAGTGTTTTGAGTCGACTCAAAACACGACTCATCGCTGGGTGAGCCTGCTGGGGTTTCCAGAGTTGCATCTACTAGCACCTCAGGTCTGTAGTTTGAGAATTCTAAAATAACAGGTTCAGCATATATTGAGTCGACTCAAAAGAGCCTGCCCGGGATTCCCGGAGGTGCATCTCCGGGCACCTCAGGTTCACCTCCCAATTTAACCTCTCGGAGCGCATTTAGGTGATTTCTGAGGCGCCTAAAAAATCGTTCAAAAAAGGCTCCTCAGGTTCACCTCCCACGTTAACCTCTCTGACCACGAGATGACCCACCTCAGCTCAGGCGTATCTCAGCTTCTCCAAGGCGTGCTGCCCTTTCTCCTTCCTTCTTTGCTTTCTCCGTCTCGTAGCCGACTGAATGAAGCGCTTGTTCTCGTTCTTGCCCCATCTTCTTGGTTTCTGTAAAGCTGTATTCCGAATTTGCAATCTTGCCAGGCCTCCTATGCAACCCCCCAGCTTGTATGCCATCCCAATCTCCTCTCCTGCCTCTCCCCTTCCCCTCCCAATCATCCACGTTACCACCCCTGCCCTCAGGATAGTGCAGTAGTGGTATCAGATCAGTCGTGAGAAGTGTCCCTCTGCTCGCATGCATTCCCCTCCTCCTATTCCCCTCCTTCTCCCTTCCTCCCCTCCCCTCTCAGTCATCAGCCCCACTGCCTTTACCGCTATATGGCTCAGTGGTGGTATTTTAGCGATATCAGGGATGGCACTGCCGCTGCCCTGAGTATAACTCAGCTCGGTGGACCAGTGGCTCAGTGGTGGGATGTTGGTGATATCAGGGACGGGCACGCATGCATCCCCTCAGCTCATGTGCCTCCGGCTGTCCCTCCCCTCTCCCTCTCTCAGCTCAGTGGACCAGTGGCTCAGTGGTGGGATGTTGGTGATATCAGGGACGGGCACGCATGCATCCCCTCAGCTCATGTGCCTCCGGCTGTCCCTCCCCTCTCCCTCTCTCAGCTTAGTGGACCAGTGGCTCAGTGGTGGGATGTTGGTGATATCAGGGCGTTGCGTATGCAGTGGTGCTATCAGTGGCTCCCCCAGCTCCTATGCTCCCAGCTGTCCCCTCTCCCCCTCGCCCTCCTTGCAATAATCCATCCCACTGGCCCATACCTCTCAGGATAGTGCAGTGGTGGTGTCAGGTGCTGGCACTAGTGGCAGAATAGCCTTCCAGGTGCTACCTTATTGGCCTGAAAGGTGCCTTTTTGTTAGCCTTCCTGCTGCGTCTTCGTAAGATGACTGTCAGGTGCTTTTATATCTCGTACCTACGTTGTCTTGTTTTGTTTTGTTTCTTTTCTCCCCTTAAATCTCTCTTTCCCCTTTCGCAATCGTGTTCTCGCCTCCGTTCGTTTTCTGTTGGACCTTTGAGCCTCCTTGTGTAGCACAGTGTGCGCGTTACACTTTACAATCATGAATCAGCTGCTATTTTGTGTTTTTGTTATGTGATTCAGTTGTGCGTCCTTCAAAAGGCGAAACATAATTTGTGCTCATTCCAAACCAATTTTGTTTGCGTTGATGTTATGAGTGCAATTGAGTGAGCGAGCGAGGATTGCACTATCGGAACAAGATACAATAAGAGGATTGAGTGAAGAATATATAGCGAAGCTACGGTGGTAACGGTAACGTGTGAAAAATGGGGTGCGCGACGGGCCTGGTGTCGTGGTTGGGGGACAGTCGAGGCCGAGGTCCGGAGCGCGGGTTACCAACCGAACCGTGAGGTTGGGTCGCATCGTGAACAGTGGCGGGAATGGTGTCGAGGCGAATGTCGCGAGTGGTAACGGAATATTGTAGGGTGCTAATGGCGGGAACAGTGGTGTACGCGCTGAGCAGGGACGCGAAGTAAGGAAAAAGGGATTTTCCTTACACTACCCCCCCCCCCCCCTTCAAGGAAGCCTCTCTTACGAGAGTGCGTGTATATCCCGGAAATTCCGGCTGCGCAGATACTCGGTGAGGACGGGGTGGTTTTCGATTTTGTCCAGTGGAATCCAATTGTCCTCGGTGGGCATGCGGTCTCTCCAGCGGATCAGGAATTCGACCCTTCGAGCTCCTCATGGGTCACGAACTCGGTGGCTCAGGATTTTCTCGGGCGTGATGACTGGTTCTGTCGGTGGTCGTGTCATGCTGGCTGGGCGATTTCGGGCCAGTTGGCTGGTGGATGGGATGTAGGGGCGAAGCAGGCTGACGTGGAAGGACGGGCTGACGTACCAGTCAGCAGGGAGGAGGAGGTGGGCAGTGACGGATGTGATCATGTGGCTGATGCGAAATGGCCCGCAGTATCGGGGGCGGAGTTTCGGGGTTATGGGCAGGCAGAGGTTTTGAGTGTCGAGTAAAACTAAGTCGTCGGGTTGGTAAGTGACGGGCCTGCGGTGGCGGTCGGCGTTGCGCTTAGCGATGACGTTGGCCTTTTTGATTGCCTCAGCTGCCATGGTTCGTGCTGCCTGTAATATTTTTGCGAATTGTTGCGCACGTGGGACTGGGTTGTCGGGACTCGGAGTCATGGGTACTATGGGGTCTTGTCCGTAGTTCAGGTAAAACGGCGACTGTTGGGTCGTGGCGGATGGTGAGTTGTTGTACGCGAATTCGATGAGTGGCAGCTGCTGCTCCCAGGTGGTCGGGTCGTCGCACGTAGCTCGGATCAACTGTTCCATGGTCTGATTTGTCCGTTCTGTCTGTCCGTCGGTCTCGGGGTGGTACGAAGAACTGAACTGTAGTCTCGTGCCGAAATGCTGCCACAGGTTCCTCCAGAAATTGCTGGTAAATTTCGTATCGCGATCGCTGATGATTGCTGCTGGTATCCTGTGTAATCGAACGATGGTTGTGATGAAGAGGCGGACCGTTTCTTCGGTTGTGATTATTTTTTTGCAGGCTGCGAAATGTGCCATTTTCGTCAGCCGATCGACGACGACCAGGATCGCGTCGTTCCCACTTGCCCTGGCCAGTAACCCCGTGACGAAGTCCATCGTCACCTGCTGCCAAGCACGCTCTGGGGGTGGTATCGGCTGCATCTGTCCTGCCGGTCGCTTCCGTGATGATTTCATGACTTGGCATGTGGGACACGATGCCACGTGTCGCTGCACGTCGGTCAGCATTTCGGGCCAATAATAATACCGCTGCAGCTGCTGCCGTGTTTTCTCTACTCCGAAATATCCTGAGGTGACTCCGTCGTGTGCCTCTTGCAATAGTAATTCCCGCATGAGCGTGTAGCCCCGTACCCAGATGCGATCAGTGCCCGCTTTTACGTAATAGACTCCTCTTGCCGTTGCAAATTGCTGCAAATTTCCGCCTGTAAAAAATGGGTCAGTCTGGTAACCGTGGGTAAATAGGCCTGTCAGCAGGGGGCTGGTCTGGGCGAGTAGTATGGCGTGGAGTTCGGCTGTGGGCCGGGTCAATGCGTCGGCGATGTTCGATGCCCCTTTTTTGTAGGTGACCGTGTAGTGAAAATTCGACTCGAGGTAGTCGAGCCAGCGGATTTGTCGTGGGTTGAGGTGAGGTTGTGCGCGGAGGTACTGTAGAGATTTGTGGTCTGTCCGTACTGTCACGTCGGCGCCGGTCAAGTAGCAGCGCCACACTTTGAATGCATGCACGATCGCAAGCATTTCGCGATCGTGTATCGGGTAATTCTTCTCGGGCGGATGCAACTTTCGTGATTCGTATGCGATGGGTTGTAGATCGTTGCCGAAATCCTGTAGCAGTACAGCTCCAATGGCGATGTCGCTTGCATCGGTAACCACTTCGAATGGACGGTGTGGGTCGGCGATGTGCAGTTCGGGCGGTGAACATAGAACAGTTTTCAGGGTAGAGAAGGCAGCATGCTCTTTCTCCCCCCACGTAAAAGCGACCCCCTTCCGCAGTAAGTCTGTCAGTGGGGCAGTTAAGCGTGCCATGTCGGGGACGAACCGACGCACGTAATTAACGAATCCCAAAAAACTGTGCAGCTCCGTGATGTTCGTCGGGGGGTGCCACGCTTTTACCGTGTCCAGTTTCTTCGGGTCGATTTCCACTCCAGCCTCTGTAATAACGTGCCCCAAAAAATCAAGCCTATCCTGGAAGAACTCGCACTTGGAACCCTTGGTCAATAGTCTTTGTTTGTCTAAAACTTTAAATACTGCTTCTAAATCGGCTAAGTGCTGCTGCTTGTCACGGCTGTAGACGAGAATGTCGTCAAGGTAAATGATCACGCATTTATCTAAGAGTGGTCTAAACGCCTCGTTCATGGTCATCTGAAAATTCGCTGGTGCGTTGGTCAGCCCGAAAGGCATCACGGTATACTCGAATGACCCGTACCTAGTCCGAAATGCTGTTTTGGCGCAGTCCGATGGTTTGACCCGAATCTGATGGTAACCTCCCCGTAAGTCAATTTTCGAAAAGACCCGTGCTGTTCGCAGTTGATCTATCAGTTCGTCGGCGCGGGGGATGGGGTGTCGCGATTTGATTGTAACCCTGTTCAGTGCCCTATAGTCGATGCACATGGGAAACCTGTCAAACTTATATGCTATAGTCTCTTTAGGCTGTAATGGGGTAGTTCTTATAGGGTACAACACTTCCAGGTTTGCTACTTGTACCCAACTGCTTTCTAGTTCAATCATTCATTCGTTCACATTCTAACATGGTATCAGAGCAGGTTCCCTAGTGGGAACGTCTTTAAGGGCCCACCACAACTTTTTTTTTCCTGCCCTGCCTGAAGCGCGCATCGCGCCCTGCACGAAGCGTGCCTTGCGCCCTGCCCTAGTCCGGCCCGTCGCGGCCCTGCCTTCTCTGGCTCGTCACGGCCCCTGCTGCAGTCGCGACCCCTACTGCTGTCGCGGCCCCACCTACCGTCGCGGCCCTAACTGCCGTCACAGCCCCTACTGCCTGTCGCGGCCCCTACTGCCGTCGCGACCCCACCTGCCGTCGCGGCCCCTACTGCCGACGCGGCCCCTGCTGCTGTCGCGGCCCTCGCCCGTCGCAGCCCCTGCCTCGCGGCCCTACCGTCACCACCTGTCGCGGCCCCTACTGCCGCTGCGACCCCTGCTGCCGTCGCGGCCCCTGCTGCCGTCGCGGCCCCTACTACTGTTGCGGCCCCAAGCCGTCGAGGCCCCTGCTGTCGCGGCCCCTGCCATCGCCGCCCCTGCTATCACGGCCCCTGCTGCCACGGCCACTGCCGTCGCCGCCCCTACTGGCGCGGCCCCTGCTGTCGCGGCCCCTACTGTCACGGCCCGGCCCTGCACCCGCCCCTGGTAAGCACCCGCGCCACCCTGCTGCGCCACGCCGCCAGAAGCCAAGCCGCGCCGCCCAGCCGAGCCGCGCCGCCCAACTGAGCCTCGCCGCCCACTGAGCCGCGCCGCTCTGCCGAGCCGCGCCGCCCTACCGAGCTGCGCCGCCCTACCGAGCCGCGCCGCCCTACCGAGCCGCGCCGCCCTACTGAGCCGCACTGCCCTGCCTGCCCTACTGCCTCTGCTACTACTGCTGCTACTGCTGCTATGGCTAGCCCTACTGTTCTCACCTTTGATGCTGAGGGACGTGCAGTTGAATTTGACGTGTGGGTTGACGATCTGCAGCTCTTTCTTCAGTGTGACTCTAGGGATGGAGTATCCCTTTTCGATCACACGTCCGGTGTCTCTACTGCACCTGCTGCCACTGCTGACAGTACGGTTCGCTCGCAGTGGACCACTCATGACGCTGTTGCTCGTCTTGCTGTTCGTAGTCACCTGCCGCCTGCTGAGCGCGCGCATTTTGGCCAGTACAAGACTGCTAAGTCTTTGTACGACGCTGTAGTTGCGCGCTACTCCTCCCCTGCCACTGCTGCCCTCAGCCGCCTCATGCTAACGTACCTTTTCCCTGACCTTGCCGCCTTTGCCACAGTCGCTGACCTCATTGCTCACCTCCGAACTAGTGACGCCCGCTATCGCGCTGCCCTTCCCACTGAGTTCTGTGCCAAGAACCCCCCCCCATGTACATCACCCTTTACTACCTAGTCACTTGCCTCCCTGACTCCCTTGCTTCAGCCAGGGACCACTTTCTCTCCCTTTGCCCCACCGAGCTCACTGTCGACCTGCTAGAGGAGCGCCTCACTGCAGCTGAGAAGAGTATCTTAGCTGTAGGTGCTTCTCGCAGCGACCGTCGCACCCCTTTCTTTGAGGGGTGTT